CAACCTACATTGTGCCCGGTTGGCCCCCCGCAGGCCTGTTGCCTGGGGCAACATCACAGGCAACAGTCTACTGGGGGGTCAAGTCCTTATATAGGCCCGGACCCCCCCGAAATTTTTTGTTGCTTTTTTTATATTTTTATTTTGGGCCGATAACACCCCACCCGAAGTGCTGGGGTCATTTGCCGTGATTTGGAGGCCGTGGCACGCGAATATATCCATGTTGTTGCGAAAGGCAACAAAAGGCAACAGCCGCTGTTAAAGGGTTAAATACCTATTCGATACCTTCATGATCATTTGATGTAAATAACTTCATGCAGTAGGTATCACACTTTCAAGTGTTCCGTACAATGAAGGGTTCACACCCTGGGCCTTCGCGTCGTTTATATGTAGTGGGTGAGAGAATCACGTAGGTTACGTGGCACAATAAGTAGGCTGTTCCGTCGAACGTTACATGCAAATTCGCTTTCCAGTTCGACGCCTTTGAAATGGAAAAGACGTCTTGGGCCTTCGCGAAATCCAGGGCTTCATACGGAGATCTGTAACGAACATGGGTTTAGAAGCCAGGTTTCCCAGTGGGGTTAAGCGGACAAAGTGGACCCTGGACATCCCACGGCGACCAGATGCCCTTAAATTGGCCTCCTTCGCGACGTCGCTCAAAGCCAATTTCAACAAAGCCGCCACTTGGCTGATTTCGCGCCGCGCCCACAGGCAGTCGATACCCCTGATGTACCTGCGCCACATGGCCCTTGAGGTAGACACCCCCAATGGGCTTGCAGCAAGGCTGAGCACACCGTACGGAGACATTGAATGCAAATCATTGACGCCACTGTTAGGATTTGATCAAATGAATTCAAAGCAGACAGGCACCAGGGTCCAGAGTGACTCTGGTAACTGCAGAGTGACTTAAGATTGGCGCCCGGGGGACGGGTAGGTTTAGCATGGTGGTTAGGGTAGGTTCGGGTGCGGAGCGGGTGACTATTTGGGTTAGGGTTTGTAGTTTGTTTGGTCGGGGTTCGTGAATCTCAAGTCCCTCACCCGTTAAATCACTCCTATGGAACTCCTGACACGGGCTCAGAGTCCTGAGTTACCAGTACCGGTATTCCAGAGTGCGTCAACATTGAACTGAACTGTGAACATCAACGTCAATTGGTCTTCGATCTTCTCTTTCCCTTCTGTCACTGAGGCTTTGGCCTTGGGTAAATACTGTGGGTCCATATGTAGAGCTATTATCAAGGGCGCAATGGAGTCGCAAGGGGACCTCTTTGACCGCTTGAGTGAAGAGCTGACAGTGAGCATCTTCCAGAGACTGCTTTGGAGCCCATCATCCTATGAGCCGAAGAAGGCCCACCAGAGGCTGCAGCTAGAGGCAGTGAGCAAGACGTTCAGAGCTCTGGTCTCTAAGACTGGATGCCTGGAGTGGAAGATAGGCTGCATTGAAGATGAGCGGAACTTCTTGCGCTACATGTCTGGGGATGTGAGCAGACGCTCGTTGACCAAGGTGGCTCTGTACTTGGACCGCCCGGTTGATCTGACTGCCATCCTTCAATCCTTCATCCCTCTCAGCCTAGACACTCTTGAAGAGATTCAGCTGATATTTTGGGGGCTTGACGACGAGGACGAGCCCATTGACTGCGAGTCAATCTTCCACTCACTCCAAGAGTGCAAGCGGCTGGTGGCATTTCGCATCTTTCTGTGGGACTGTGAGCGTGAGGGTCCGGACTGCCTAAAGTTCTCAATGCTACCCAAGCCCTTCGCAGCTCTCCAAACCCTGGTTGTGCCCGAACTCGCGGTGTCTGTGGAAACACTGAGCTCAATCCTGCCGAGCTTCCCCGTTCTAGAGACACTCGAGCTTCACAGTGTACACGGCAAACAAGGTGAACTCCGCTCCAGCTCACTGAAAGAAGTCTTCTTATGGCACGGCAGACATTTGAAAGTGCCATTGAAGGGCCCGAGAAGGGTTGGGGTGCCAAGGGACCTGGAAAAGGTGGTCGGTCTTTTGTACAGTGGGGATGACGTAAAGGAGTTGACGGGATCATATATCCTGTTGAACTTGTTGGGTTCGTTGGCTGCTAAGGAGGACCCTCGGGCGCAGATCCAGCAAGCTGTACTTCGGTTTCCTGGGTGCCTGCAGAAGGTGGTTACTTTCCTCAGCCGTCAGGATGTGGCATTTCGGAACAGAGCGTTGTGGATACTCGAGCGCCTGGCACTGGTCAATGGGCATGAGGTCCCTATAGCCACTGCTCCGGGGTGCATACAGGGGCTGGCCCATGCATTGGCTGATAGAGAGTTGGAGTCACTGAGTTCAGTCCCCTCCATCATATCCTGTCTAGCAGATGACATCCAAGCCCGCACGCTGCTCCTCAATGCCCCCGAAATTCTCCAGGGCCTGGTCAGTCTCCTGGATGATGTGGACCCCGAAGTGCAACTAGCTGTGGGAGATGCACTTGCAAAACTGACTTCTCAATCTGAGGGCGCCGAGGCTCTCTCCTCGACGCCCCAGTCCCTAGAGAAGCTTGTGGGTTTGCTGGACAGCGGGAATGCAAAGTTGCAAGGACAGGGGGCACACTGCCTGTGCTCTTTGGCATACGCAATGTCTGAGGACAAAGTAGAGAATATGCTGAGGGTGCCTGGTTGTGTAGAGAAGTTGGTGGGCCTTCTTTGGAGCGAGAGCCTTGAGACCCGGGAAAGATCAGCACTGGCACTTGCGCGGTTGGCGGAGTGTGCTCTGTTTAGAGAGATGATGCCAGCGGTGCCCCAATTATTACAGAGGCTTCTTGACTTTCTGGAACCAAACGAGGGTGCATCTTCACAACTTCTGCGGGAGGCAAGTGTTAGGATTTTAGGGAACGTGGACTTAGATGCCAAACAGATGAAGCTGTACACCGGACGTCGAGCTCTTGTTAATGCAAAGTGAGGTTTGATAGTCCTGCTAAAGAATCTTGTGAGCGAAAGGGGCTTTGGGTGCCATTGGGCACATACTTAAAACTTATTTTCTGAGTAGCTTTGGCTTTTAGAGTAGTGCAATTGTAATGAAACCAGGTACTGCATGCCCGCACGCTTTCTGCCATACGAACCGTCCCTGTCTTTGGTGATCTTGAATACTCTTTACACTTTTGTACAATATAGCAGAGAAGATGCCAGCCTTGATCCAACGTCACCACGTTGGTTCTTTATAGACCATGCATAAATCTAGAGCTGAGCTAAATTGCACCAATTGATTATTGGAAAAAGTCTCCTATAGACCCGCTCCAAATTGCACTTAGGCCCAAATCAGCTAGATGGCCCCCATGCCGTTGCCTCTCTACTTTAGTGAAGGACTAAAGCTATTATAATTCAGCTTGGATGGACTGTATCGTAATGCGAGATTCAGGCGCATGCATGCCAGTGCAACAACTCTCAGAAACTTAAATTTGCAATTTAAGGAAGCTAAGCTAATTTCCATATGAAAACATGGAAAAATTCGTTCGTATACATGCACGTGCGGCAATGCATGCCTTATTGTATGGGGCTTTCATTCTCAGCGCCGCCACGTCATATACAGTTAACGATGCTTGCTGAGTCGGCGTGCGCCGCCCTCACTCTTAAGCCGCTTATGCCATTACGTCATCTGATTGGAAGGATCTACCGGACACTAGCTATGTGGTCCCTATATGGACGGCCCAAGAACCTAAATAAATCTCACTACGAATCATGTTCTGAACATGTTGTTGCTGATTACAGATCGAAGCTCCAGTACACCTGTTCTAAGATCAACATCGATATGCAGAGCCCAACTTTGCAACAGAACGGGCTTCCTCAAGTCATCGAGTTGACAGGTGCAGAGCCACGTGATGGACCGTACAGCAGACTTGTAACCATATCAGATACACGTGCTCTTCAGAGCAAATATTGCTAGCATATGCAAGAGAAGCACCATGAAAACTGAAGAAAAGAGTAGGGAGATCTACCCTAAAATGTCAATTGCATTGCTACAGTCTTTCAATGACAATTGCGGAGGCACCACCTCCACCATTACATATAGACGCACACCCAATCGTTGCGTCCTTTGCTGTTAGGACAGAATGCAGAGCCATTATTTGGCGAGCACCCGAAGCACCAATTGGATGTCCGAGGGCCACAGCTCCGCCATGTATGTTTACCTCGTCTGATGAGAGCCCGAGCAGGCGCTCGTTGGCGATTTGTACAACCTGCAAAAAATGGATCACTCGAATGTGGTTTCCATGCTAGAACCTGAAATCGTTGCCCTTTCACTGGTGTCTCACATCAATCAGCCTCTGGATTGCTAACCGGGCACTCCAAACGTTACAACTCTTTCTTCGGGAGGGGGTCACAAACGAATCGAAGACCTGCCCCGGCCAATCCCAAGGAGGCCAGAAATTCATCTTCTGATCTGAATTCTCGGGTGTCAGGTATACAGCAAAGTCTCCCAGAAACACATCAACTATCTAGACTTGGAACATACCAAGTCGGAACTTGTTCGGAGGGCGCGGAAGGACAACACCGGCCTTCAAAACGAGTCGCAAACCGGAACAGCAACGAGGGAAGAAGCTGAAGGCAGAAGGCCACATGAACGGCCAGAATTAGAGTGTTTGCATAATCCTTAAGGAGTCGAAGCACTTCTCAAGGTGGCCGAGCGACACCCCAAGGTGGCATTAGGGGAACGGAGGGTATCCTAGCAGACACAGCGGAACACCTCGACATCCTAAGTTGACGCCAGAAATGCAAGACTCTGATATGACGTCAGCAGGGAGACGAGGAAAAAGGGAAAGAAACGTGCACACCTTTGGTTGAACTCACGAGAACAAAAAACGGAGTCCGCAAAACTGAGCTTCTCAAATACAACCAGCAGATACAAAAACAACGCTCGCATCCTCCAGACATCCCCTCTAACTCGACGAAGAACAAGACCGCAATGAATCAGCCGAAATGGAATAATCTTGGCTAGGCAACAGAAACATGAGCATCGACATGCGGCTGACCTCAGCACTCAAAGCCGACAAAGTCGCGCATCGGATCCAATTGCTTCCCGACTCCCTGCAAAAGCCTCGTCGACTTGATTCGCGTTCGATTCTCGAGATGCCACCCTGCGCTCTGCCAGGAAACCTTCACAAGTTCAGCAAATCAACACCAAGAAACCTCAAGCGAAAGCCCCACACCCCAGGCGACAGTAAAAAGAACTCACCGCAAAAGCCTGGTTGATCTCGAACAGATCCACGTCCTCTAGTCGCTTCCCTGCGTTCTTCACCGCGCGCGGGATCGCGAGCGACGGCGTCGTCGGAAATTTTTCGGAGCTTTGCGCGGCGTCGCCGAAACCGGAGATCCGCAGAATGGGCTTCAGGTCGTGCTTCTCGGCGAAGGCGGCGCTGGTGAGAACTAGAGCGACGGCGCCGTCGCTGATCTGGGAAGCGTTGCCCGCGGTCACGGTGCCGTCGCCCTCGAAAACGGGGGGCAGCTCGCGCAGCTTCTCGGGATCGAACTAGAGAGAGAGGAAGAAGGGTTGGACATGTGGGGAGCACAACCTACGAGGCAGTTGATACTGAACATCGGTAGAAAATCGTCACACCAGGCAATCAAGCACTTTTAACAGCTACTTCTAATCGTGAACAGGCTGACTTTCGAAGTTTAAAAGGCGCAAAGATGCAATCTAGAAGGAACAATACCAAAAGCCACTTTTCGGTCGGCCGAACAGGAGGGTTATGTTGATGATCGTCGAGGCGCCAATCTCAAGTCCTGAAGTGTGTAGTGTATCCATAAAAGGTTGGAAGGTTTCGACTACGTCGCTGTCCTGAAACGACCTTCGCGTAAGCATCTATACTACGTGGCCCGGGTTTGGGTACTGAGGGCATGGCATTACGGCGACATACAAAGACGCAAAACTTACGACCTTAGAACGACCTTGGAAGCAATCGCAAGCCCGACGAAACCTGGGCTTATGGTACACGTTGGAAGTAGAATCTAACACCCCCGCCTTCACTTCGTCCCAAAGGTGTACTAAGACCGGGCCACCAACGCTCGAACACCATACACAACCGTTCCTTTCTGTGAATCGGCAACCCCAGTGAATCTCTTACACAAGTTCAGTTTCTGAATAGTCTGGCCGAACTTCCCATGCACCCCGTGTACTGCCTATCAATCACCCTCAAACAAATGTAAGCACCGAAAATGGAAGGGGCCTCACCTTTCCAAGGCCTTCGTCCTGTTCGACCATTGTCGGTTCCCCTTTCCGTCTCTCGGAGGGAACGCTCACAGGGACAATTTCCTTGGCAAGCACACCCGCGGCCTGCGCTGCAAGGGCCCGCTCATAGCTCTGGATGGCGTAATCATCCTGCAGAGAACATTGATAAAATGGTTACTTCCCTCAACTTTGCCGTCCAACAAACGTCGGGCAATCGTCGTCTTGTTTGGTTGCCTCAGACATTCTTAGAGAAGTCGAGACAAGACGACCGCAGAAGTTGCTACAGGTATGATTTCGTGAGCAATAACTGTCCGCTAAGCACCGCCGGGCTGATCGGCAGTTGAGGGACTTTGTGATCGTCGAATTCCCCGCTGCCCCTCCGCCAATACTCTCAAGTGCATGATAATCAGCGGAGGCAGTGTAAAGCTGCCAGCTCAACTGTGTGACCACGTTCCTGCCTGGTCAATTCCAACGTTGCGTAACAGCAAAACATCGAGCAACAGACCAACAACTTCTTTGCCTCAAAGACCCAACGGCACTGGAAACCCCCCAATCCCTGAAAAGAATCATCACTGTCTGCAGGCAGACCAGAGGGTCCCCAGAACTCTCCCGCCAGACACTTCTGACTTTTTTGACAAGCGTCTTTTGTAGAAAGAAGGTTAATTCAGAAGCCAAGAGTTTGGCTAAGGAACCCTGTGAAGCTCAACCCACCTGTTCGCTTCTCGAGATGCCCATCTCGCTCGCGCACAGCTCCGCGATCTGGCCCATGTGCATGTCCTTGTACGCGTCCCACAGCCCGTCCAAGATCATACCGTCCTTCATCTGCTGGTGTCCTAACGCCTTCCCGCGCAGCCGCCGCTCGACGTAGTACGGCGCACGCGACATGCTCTCCATCCCTCCCGCCACGACAACGTCGTTGTGGCCCAGCATGATGGACTGGGCGCCGAACATGACGGCCTTCATGCCGGAAGCGCACATCTTGTTTACGGTGGTGCAGATGACGCTCGCGGGGAGGCCCGCCGCCTAACAAGAAAGGCTCGGTCAATACGAGGATCAAGTTCTCCGTTCAAGTTATGAATGCTATCTAGGGATGTTATTCAGGTCAGCTAGGTTCAGATTGACAAGGTTCAAGTTGGAGGTGCGATTTGTAGCTGCAATCCCTATTTAGATAAACATGAAGGCAATCTTAAGCGCTCGAATTGTATAGACGAATGTCAAGCTGTAAGTTGCCCTTGGATGCATGATCTGAATCTCGACCCAAAGCCAAGGGCAGAAGCAGTTGTTAGATCCTTGTTTCAAAACCAACAAAATTGGTCATCACAGCGAGTCAATGACAGAATCACCTAAGAATGATTAGTACTTCATAATCTCAACACCTGGAACTGTGTCGTAACACAGTACGAGTAGAGTCTCACCATGGCCGCCTGCCTTGCTGGCGCTTGTCCAAGCCCAGCTTGAAGAACGTTCCCATAGATGACCTCATTGACTTGCTCGGGCTGCAGGTTAGCTCGTTCAAGAGCACCTGCATATGGATCAGGGCAACTTGCTAATGAACCCACTATGTTGAAGATCTCTCACCAAGTCGCAGCAAGACGCTCTCTACATATGTAGAGAAAGTTTCTGCCGGCTTCCATTTGTGCCACAGTCTGCATTTCAGGACACCACTGAACTGCCAATGAACAATGCATCGCCAATTCAAACCGACCTTGAAAACCCCTTTAGAGCTTTCGGAACCAGAAAGAATTCTTCAGGATTCACCAACCGTCCAAAACGCAACAACAGCATTGCTGGTTGTTGTTACAGCTGCTTCTGACGCACCTTTTATTGCCAAGCCACCTAGCTTTGGTGCGCTCAGCGAGGAAAGGCCGCCTCCAAAGACGCCCATCGGTGTGCGTGCCATGCCAACGACCACTACTTCCTGGAACCCAGACTGTCCTGTCAAAACTCCTGGACTCCGTATTTCTGTCGTTTTGCCACCCGCACCTCCCACTGCCATGCCATCGTCTCCCACAAGGCCTGAATCAACAGGGTCTGTTCCTGTTGGATTGCTTGGAGAGTCTGCAGAAGTGCTTGTAGAAGGAGCGGCTGAGGTCGAAGCAGACAAACCAGAGTTGCTCCTCTCTTCCTTGTTGCTGCTGGAGAGCTCGGCTGGGTCCACCAGGTTGAGCTTGCCAAGAGTTTCTTCTGCGTGCGGTGTCTGTGAAAGGAGGCGCGCTGCACCACCATTGATCCTGCAAGTCTCCAGCAAGGAGGGCCGGGCCGGCAGGAACTGGCTTGGGGCCCATGCTTTTTGGAGAATGCGTCGCATGGTTGCAATCCTTTAAGAATGCGTCTTGGGCCAATGCTGGCAGGCCTTTCTGATCAGCAGAGCAGCAATTAGGGTTTGAGCTTGCAACCTTCTGCCGACTGCGAACTTGCAAGTCACACCACCAGCAGGGCCACCAGCAAAGGAATTTGGGAAGATGGAGGTCAGCTGATTCTTCAGAGTCCTTCTCGAGCAGAGCGAGTGTCAACTTCCCCTCAAAAGTGCAGGTGCCCTCTGCTGACGAGGACGCCGGCTGTCGGCGGCACACGATTTCGTCGTCGATTGCAGCACAGGAGCGCTAGTCGCAGACAGGATTCGACTTACCTTCGACGTCGGCTGTTCGATGTTTGGGGGAAAAGTAGGGTTGCTGAGTCAGCTGGCAACCGGCTTGACACTAGTGTGTGCAACACACTGCCTAGAGTCTAGCACTCCAAAGAAGGACGACGACAAGAGCTCCATGTGTTCTGAAGCCTGTGAAGGCTAATCAGAGCAAAAGAGGAAAGGGGCCAGTTGAGATCAGAAAAAGGGCGCCATAGCTGCTCGTCCTTCTCTTTTCCTAAGCGAGACGTCTTTAGCTCTGGTCGTTTACATTTTCGGTTTTTGGGGGGGCCAATATGGCGACGAGGGTGACTACTGAGGTCGGCCATGATGAAGTGATGATAGTGACCATGCACAACCCGCCAGTGAACGCCTTGGCACCTGCAGGTGTGTGATGCTTGAAATCCCTCATTATCCTTTCTGAATTGGCTATTAAAAGTGAGACTGGCTTGTTTGTGCCTGGATTGCTTGTGAAGTTCTCAATCAAAACTTTTGTGTTGACTTGGCATGCTGGTTACTCCTGCAGGGTCCTTATGTCATAGTTTGCTGTCAATGTTGCAATCGCTGTCTCAGCTGTTCATCTGCACCACCACCCTGCTCCCGATTCGTATCTAGCCATCCTTGCCATCTTGTTGTTTCATCGTTGACTTGGCACTCTTCGACATGCAGTGCTAAAAGGCCTGAAAGAAGCTTTTGATGAAGCGCACCACCGCAAGGACGTCAAGGCCATCGTAGTCACAGGTAAGATCTTTCGCTCGCAACTGTATTAGCTCCCCTCCGCTCCCCTCCTTCCTTGTCAGCTTCTCTGCTTGGTGGCCCTCATCCAAGTTGAACGCCTATAAAATTATATGAGAACCATCATCAAAACTAGTCGTAAAATACCGATGGACAATCTTAAAAGTATTGAAGCCACTAAAAAAGCATCAGTGGCAGAGTCCATTTCTGCATATCTGCAAGGAATTTCACAGCATCTCATCATATTTGGTGGACTGGATTGCAGGAGCCAACGGCAGGTTCTCTGGCGGCTTTGACATCAGTGCTATCGTGCAGCAGCAGGAGAGAGGTGAGCTAGAAAGTTAGAAGAATGCTGGTATGTACAGAAGCTCTGCAACCTGCTTTATTGAGTAATTTGTCCGATCGAGGTGCTTCTGCTGTTGTTGATATCCCTCACCTTATGCAGGTGAAATTGCCTCGCTCGGCGACGTCTCAACGGACCTAATGATCAAGACTGTCGAGTGTAAGTCAGGCCTGACTTTGCCCTCTGAAACCCTCCCTGCTTTTCCACCGGTGACATCCGCAAGGTGGTCATTGCTTTTGCCTCAAGTGTCAGCAAAGAAGCTGATCTTTCTGTTTCATTGTCTTGTTTTGCTGTGGCTGCGGCGGAGGGCCTTGAGTGAGCTCTTCCACTAAACATCTGAAAGGATCTGAAGGTTGTTCTAATGTCGTTGCAGCTGGGCCGAAGCCTGCTGTGGCTGCGATTGAGGGGCTTGCATTGGGTGGAGGCCTCGAGCTAGCAATGGTGAGGTTTCTTGTAATCTCATGGATATGTTCCCCACTGATGCCTCTGATGTATTGGCTGAGGGTCTTCAGTGTTGCAGTCCTTGATTGCAGATTGATGAATTGAAGAAGGGGCTTGAGAAATATTTCACTGAATAGAAGGCGGTGAGTCAATGGTGCTCTCTAACTTAAGACGATGCTCTCAGCAAGATGAATCAGGCGCTCATATCAACTTGCGCGCCGTCTGTGCAGTCTTGTCATGCACGCCTTTCAGCCCCTAAGGCACAACTTGGACTGCCGGAATTGACCCTTGGCATCATCCCTGGTTTTGGAGGTGAGGGTTCTTGAAAACACTCAAGCTCTCCATCAACCGCATTTCGAATGAGCATATGCTGAGGCTGGCATAAGCAAATGTTGCAGGCGTACAACTTACTTCCTGTACTCGATCACATCCTTGGCAACAGGTTGATGGAATGTGATATCGAACTTACTCAATGTGTATCCGCTAATGCAGGAACACAGCGCCTGCCTCGGCTTACTGGTCTGGCGAAAGCAGTAGAAATGATGCTGGTGAGTATCCTCCTCAAGGCTTTTGGCTTACTTACTAGCGAATATTCGTCCTTCAAATCACCATGGCACCATGAAACCCATGGCAACATCATCTGGTCTTGCTGAATCCTTTGCGGCACTAGACAAACGCTTAATTAGCATCGAGATGCCAAAAGGCGGGGTTCGCAGACATGATGAGTACAGTAACATCGACCGTCTGTATCTCTGCTGCAGCTGTCCAAGCCAATCAAGGCCGAAGAGGGCAAAGAGCTGGGCCTGATCGATGAGATTGTCCCTCTCAATCAGCTACTCAGTGCTGCGAGGAAGGTCGCTCTCGATCTCGCCAGTGGGCGAAGACCTCTCGTCAAATCGCTCGAAAGAAGTGACAAGATAGAAGAGCTGGATGATGCCCTCGAAATCATCAAGTTTGCAAGAAAGCAGGCCCGTGCAACCGCCCCCAATGTCAATCATCCGCAAGCCTGCCTGGATGCAGTGGAGGCTGGGGTTCGGCACGGGGGTTACGAGGGGAACAGGAAGGTACGTAACGTCGAGAATAAGCGTACACCGCACCCTGTCGTCCATTCCTTCCTGCCTTCTGGCTTCAAGAGTCTTGAAACGGCTTTATGTGGAACTGTGGGCCGGTTTCGCTTTCAGAGAACTGTTTGTTGGCTGCTGCAGAAAAATTTGAAACTTTGTGTAGCCTTATGATGTATCAGCCGATTACCGTTGATCTGTCCGCAAGTCCGTGCAGAAAACATAGAATCTGCAGAAGCCAGCCAGATGACGTACCTACCTGATTGCTTCCTTACAGGAGGCAGAGGTGTTCAAGGAGCTCGTGCTGTCGGATACATCGAAGGCGCTCACTCACGTCTTCTTTGCCCAGCGGGCTACGACCAAGGTAAGGAAGCTGCCACAGGTCCAAAATCTGCTTGTAAGCTGTGGGATAACCAGCTCCGTTCGAGTTGTCGTATCTGAATGTCGCTCAGGTACTCTACTCATCTCTCTGAGCAGCCTCTAAACCACATTGAATATGTTCGCTCCCTGCGACCTGCAAATCATCGAACGTATTAGGAAGACAACTTCGTTTGTTTACATGGTCACAAAGGGAATGAAAAGAGAGAGCATTCGCCGTTCCGCAGCTATGGTGGAAGCCGTGACCAGATTCTGAAGAGCTTTTCATTCTCGACGTTCTAATGGAAGAATGAATGGACGAACGGGCAATGATTGCGCGTACTGCAAGAAGCAGGACCGGCAGGATCGCTTATAAGCGTCACGAGACTGAGATTTAAAAGTTGTTGCCATTCATACCAATCGAGCTGCATTTCGCGCAGGTCGCGGGTGTCACCGACAAAGGGCTGAAGCCGCGCCCGATTCGCTCAGTCGCCATCATCGGCGGTGGTCTCATGGGTTCAGGCATTGCAACGGCTCTCGTGCTTGCCGGCATCCCCGTGCTCCTTAAGGAGGTCAACCAGGACTTCCTGCAAGCCGGCGTAGACAGGATTGCAGGTGAGCTAACAGGCAACTGTTTCACAAGGCTTCTCGGCGCTTTTTGTTGGTTCCACCTAGTCAACCTCCCGCCGGTTGCTTCAAAGAGATTTTGCTTGCACATAGACGTTGCTCCCCTCTCGTTCATCGTGTCCTCACTTCAGGGTTTCTGCTCTTTCAGGGCTTAGTACTTAGGAGCTGCTTCACTCACGAAGAACACGCTCCTCCGTATGCAGCGAATCTGAAGAGCCGCGTCAAGAAGGGCAGCATGACCGAGGACAAGTACAACAAGACCATGCAGCTGGTCAAGCCCACGCTTGAGTACAAGGACTTCAACGGGGTCGACGCCGTCATTGAGGTAAGCGACTTACTGCTATTCCATCTTCTCTGCGTCCTCGCTTTTTTTCGCTCTTGTGCTGGATATATTTCACGATTCGCTTTTTAGCAATCAAGCTCTTTTCGGTAGCGGAGTTGGCCACAAGCTTAACACAAAAAGTGTTCTCTGTTCTACCCAACGTCCGGATGCAGTCCAAAAGCGAACCTGTTCATGGTGATGTCAACACTATTTCACTCCCGAACGAACCAGCTGGTAGCGTTCGGCACTGCCGTCGGAAATAGCGGCGATTCGCCGAACGTTTCGACGCATCGCATCATGCGCACTCTACAAAACTTTTGGAGCCTCTTCAAGCCTAATTACTTTTGAAATTCCTCGCAGGCGGTCATTGAGGACATTGGTCTGAAGCAGAACATCTTCGCCGACCTCGAGAAGTATTGCTCCCCTCAAGCGCTGCTAGCGACCAACACTTCCACCATCGACATCAACCTCGTGGGAAAGAAGACCAACGCACAGGACCGGATCATTGGGGCCCACTTCTTCAGGTGCTGCTCTCTCTTCTGCTGGCGATTCTGAATCCAGATATCCATCTCGTTGGTCGGACGACGAATAGCACGAATAAATCGGTATTTGCTTTTGTTTACTGATGTGAAAAGCCTGTGAACATCTTGTCTGGCAGCTCGGCTTCGACAGGTTTCAAACAGCATATGGGAGCTTCCGTATGCGGATGTGTCAAGCCGAAATCTTTCCCAGAGGGGTCTAGGGGTGCTGAGAACAAGGGCGTTCTACGGCTTCTTCGGTGCATTATTCTCATCATAGATTTGGACCTAGAGGTTGAGGGATCTCGTTTGACAAAAATGATTGCGGACAGAAGCGAAATGCCAGATAACAAACCAGGATGCCGCCGTCTCCCTTGTGCAGCCCCGCTCACGTCATGCCCCTGCTGGAGATCGTACGCACCGACCGAACGTCCAACCAGGCGATCGTGGACCTTTTGACCCTCGGCAAGACCATTAAGAAGACGCCGGTTGTGGTTGGGAACTGCACCGGGTTTGCTGTTAACCGGGTCTTCTTCCCATACACCATGGCCGCCAGCCTGCTCGTTGACCTCGGCGTGGACCCCTACCGGATCGACAAGGTCATCAAGAGCTTTGGCATGCCCATGGGACCCTTCAGGTAATTAACTTCGTGAATCTTTGCGCTAAACGAGTAGCTGTGCAAAGCAGAAGATCAATTTCCGAGACATTGGGTGGATCGTCAGCCGATTTCGTGCAAAATTGATTGCAAGCGAAACGGTCGATTCTGGTCGGCGTCACCAATCTTCAGCATCTCTTGGCTGGGCGTCGGTGTTGCTGCGTTTTGAGTGCCTGAGTGACGCACTATGAGACTTTTACTGTAAGATGGTTGCGTGTCTGTCGAAAGGGTGTTTACAAGCGTATATGGTCACAAGATTAAGATTGCAGGTCAAGACCATTGGCGACTTCTTTGAGCGAGCTGGGTACTCTTTGCAGGCTCGCCGACTTGGTCGGCATGCAAGTCGCATACCTCACCGGGAAGCAGTACCTGGCCGAGTGGCCTGACCGAACGTACGGGTCGAAGATGATCCAACTGCTGTTCGACGACAAACGCTTCGGTAAGCTTACGGTTGCCCGACTCCCCCTCTTGCATCCTTCCTCTTCGTAATCCTTCTATACTTGTAGTAGTAGGACCGGCAGCCGTTCTTGCCGATAACGCCCCGTGCATAAAGCTTCTTTTTGTCTGTTACGAGTGTTGCCTGTTTGCCTGTGCGTTCCGCATCCAGGTTGCTGACTGGATTGGTCTGGAGGGAGTGTGGCAGATTGTTTCCTCTATTTTGATCGGCTTAAACCTCGTGTCTCCACAGGGGAGCGCACGAAGAAGGGCTTCTACGTCTACGACGACAAGCGCAAGAACAAGCCGGACCCGGAGCTGCAGAAGTACGTCGAGCAATCTCGGAAGGCGGCGGGTATCATGCCCGAAGGCAGGGTAGGTTCCTTTGGTGCTCCAAGTACTTCTCAGGCTTTTGGGATCGGTTCGTAGTGCTAGACCAAAGCTGGCCTCGTATATGAAACGTTTAGCGCAGGACACCCATGAATTTGCGTCCCTTTGATTTGCTCTGGGTTCGTCGTTTGCCCCTTTCCTGTAGTGTCACGATTGGTGCAGTACTCAGCCGCTGACGGTGCTTCGACCGCAAGTACGCATACATGGTTCTTGCTGCTTGCAACTGTCACCGCAAGCAATTCAAGGTCTCGTTTGCATGCGATCTGTCAAACCCCACCGACCCCTCCCTTTTTGCTGTTTCGCAGCCGCTTCAAGTATCCGACCAAGAGATTGTGGAGATGATCTTCTTTCCGGTTGTCAACGAGGCCTCGCGGGTGCTTCAAGAGCAGATTGTGCAGAGCGGTGGCGACTTGGACATTGCGTCGGTGCTCTCCATGGGCTTTCCCCCGTACAGGTGAGTGACTCCCTTCCTAAGAAGCAAGGGAACGTTGATGACCGACCTCTTTTTGCGTGTGAGTGGATCGCATTGCGAGAGGAATCCTGAACGGTCACGAAGGCAGTCGTTCTTTTTCGTCGACGAAGGGCTCGGACGGCGGTTGTACGGATTTTCCCAGAGTGTCCGATGGTGCACCGCAGTCTTGACCAGGACAGATTTTGATGACCGAGCTTTTCCAGCTGTGATATCAGCACACCTGTCGCGCAAAATGAGAACTCCGAACGGCCAATGAGAGTAACAGAGTCCGCCTTGTTTTCTTGATACTCATCCTCCCCTGTTTGCAGAGGCGGAGTCGTCTGGTGGGGCGACTCCATCGGCGTCAAGTACGTGCACGAGAAGCTGAGCAAGTGGAGCCAGCTCTACGGCGGGTTCTTCAAGCCCAGCGCGTTCCTCGCCGAGCGAGCTTCAAAGGGCGTCAAGTTGGTAAGGGCGCCGACGCATAATCAAACTTTAACATGCACTTTTGTACTTTGATGCACGCTTTGCTGGGACGCCACCTCTCTGCCAAAGATAAACGCCGACCCTTCATTTTCTGGGTAGCTTCTCTGCAAAGGCCGCTTTCACTTTAGAAAGCGATCTTATACACAGGTGTCAGGACCTTATCCGTTCCCGGTTCTCAATGCAGGCCGCTCCCTTGGAGGACAGTCCCAGGTCGCGGTTGTAATTGAGGGCTCCATGATGACTCGGATCTCAAACCAGTGCTAAACCCGACTTGGTAAGCATCTGTAGTTCAGGTACAAAAGAAGGAAAAGTTTGAAGCACGCAGACATAGCCGGAAACAGAAGCATTGTATACGAAAACATTCACTTTGAGAAAACTTACGTTTTGTCCCCTCTAAAATATAAAGAATACACTAACTGATACCTATACAGACGCAGAAGGTTGCTTTCATCGCAGTTCGGATCGAGGACTTTGATGATTTCATCACATAGAGCTAGCGCACTCAGTTCATCCCGAAGCAATCATGACGAGATTGTCCATCGATTGCTGTGTATCGTTTGATACACATCGACATACTCCCAATCAATGATTCTGCTGTCATGCATCAGAATTATCCAGAGAGCTGGTTTTCTTAATCCGGCTTTACTAGAGCGACTAAAGTGCACATGCGTCAGCGTTTATATTTTGAATAAAGTCGAGGCCAGCTGCATGGCCCTATACGTGGCTGCTGCACATGCACGCACTGAACCGCACTAGGCAGGTCATGCATGCACTCAGTGCATCATGTTGCATGTGACACGACGCTGCGGCCGCGACAAATTCAGCACTTGCAATGACTAGTGCATCAATGGGCAGAGTGTTTAAGTACGGGCCAATTACGAGCTTGCATGCCACCGGCGGCCTTACCACCGCCATGCCAGGAGCCGGAAAATGCGATGAACGGCCTGCATCATTCGCTGGTATCACATGAACGCAGTGCTGTTGTCACTCGAGGTAGCCTAAGTGCACCGCTGCTTTTCATATACGCTGTGGCTACAAGCCAGAGGCATTGAGCGGAGACCTCTACTCTACTTTACAGTCGTACTTTTTTCTAATTCATCTACCTAGCTGGCACTGAACAAAGCGTATGGTACATAACTCTGACCTGTCGCTTGCTCTACTCCTAGTACGCAAATTGAACTCTTCTTCTCTCCAAAAGAAACCTTGGCTACTACAAGAAAGAGATGTGGCTAGAACCCTCTGTCTGCTTCTTCTAGCTACCCACGTGCAAGCAAGAAGTGGAGAGCGACAACTTCACTCTCGGGCTTCAAGCCGCTGCCAGATTCATAGCTTACATTGTGACAGGCGCGAGCTTCCGTCTACCTACCAATCGAGACCATCCGCGTGCATGCAAGCTATGATAGAACTCTACTTGAAAACTAACAGCCTCATTCACGGTGCTTTTGAGTGCCGAAGTACGGCCTCACAGCTATATCCATGAGATAGTCCATGCTTTGATCTGCTGGGTGGGCGATCAAGGGTATGAGAGCTAGACCGACCGCTGCCGGCACCCATCTCTTGAGGGCCATTGGTGCTCGAGGGCTCACGGCTTTGGACTTTCCGGTTGTCACTTTTTCGAGGCGTCGGTTCTCTGTTAACAACGGGAAAAGCGGAGAGGGATCAGCAGAAGAAAAGCCAGGTGGTACAGAGACCATCATCACCAGCTCGACATTGTCAGAGGGCGTCAAAGCGAAGCCAATCGAACGGATGCAACATCTGTCTAAGAGCAAACAGACCCGGCCCTGAATAAGAAGACAGGCAAAGCGCAACCCAATTTGGAGTTGAAAAGGACCCAAGCAACCAGGCTGGAGGATGGTGCATTTGCTTTCTTGTGTTGCCAACCAGGCTTCCCTTGTCAAGCGACCAAATAGGAGACGAAGGAATGCTTTTGCAACGAGGTCGCTTGAATAGCCTCCTGCTTCTCATAAAAACGGGTTTGCAGTGGGCAAAGCTAGACTGCAAACATCTTGATTCTAGAAGAGTGCGAATACAGTGTCTCGGGCAAGTATATGACATCGTTCAACACACCAAACCACGCATCAGCGACGGGATTCGTCTTGCCCCATGCCCCTTGCATTGAAGGAGGCAAGACGGGGAGGAAAGAAACGACCTTTGTTGCTGCGAAAGAAAAAACGTGTTTGTACAATCCAGATACTTCAATTGACGCTAGAAGAGCGTTTCTTACCCAGTCTGTCCATGAACTGCGTGGCATATTTAACGGCTCGGTTGATGGTAACACCCGGAATTGCCACCGTGGCCTGCACATGACAGGAATACAACGTCAGTTAAATCTAAGCTGTAAAATAGCTTAAATGAGGTCGCTTTTAAGAGAAGGAAGCAGAGTGTCTCAAAAACTTGCAATTAAAAAACACCCGACATTTTACCAGCCCGGCAATGAATGACCATAGCACCAGCTTGTCAGCTTGCTCTTTTGGGCTCCTTCTAAAACCAGCAGTGGACCAGTTGATCACAACGACTTGTTGGTATTCAAACCCAAATAATTGGTCGTCCCTCGATGATCTGCTAGATGGTTTGACACATTGCAAGCCTCCTCTCAACCCTCTTTTTTAAAACAAATACAACGAATTCGCGACCTGCTGGAGGGATTACTTAATGACGAGTTTCCTCGACAGAGAATGCTCCTGAAACAGCGGACTTGTCCGTCGCTTGAGACCTGATCTTCTGAACACTTGAGAAAGCTACGAAAGCTGGTTTCTCCAACTATGGAGAAGACACTCGAAACTGGCCGCTTTCATTGCTAGAGCAAGAGAAGCTCAAAGTGCAGATCTTACCAGACCGTGCCACATCAGCGAGTCCAGCGCCGCAGCCACTGGCGGCCAGGTGTCAGTCTCCCCTGCTTCCACGTCAGCCTTCTGGCCTTCCCCAGAGGAAGTACTGGCTGCTGTTTCACTTGTCTCCATATTGGCAACCCTTGTGTCCGACTTTCCGTCCTGAGTGTTTGAATTTTCAACCGCTGTGTCTGAATCCACGTTGCGGGGCTGGTTGGACGTCCGAGAAGGACCTTCTAATCGACGCTGCCGTTCCTTCCACCCCTTCTCGATCGCATCGGCAGCGACATACGAGATCGCTACGCCATAACTGGGGGAGTGTAGCAGGGGACTTCATCAGGAAAGTGACAGACTATATGCTGGATTCAGTTCCTTTCAATACTCTTTTTTCTACAGAATGGCAGAAAAAACACAAAGAGTCACCTTGAGGAAACACAACCAGCGCTTATAAACGAACTGGTACTAATGAGCTGGAAGAACAGTGCAGACTGCCCTCCTGCCGCAGCATTGTGTACGCTGCATGCAAGCGGGTATCTGCCAAGGTGTTGCAGTACTTCTTCTTATGATGAAACTGATCGAGCAAGAAGCATGGAGCTGAAACCACGGCTTGAAGCTTGCATGCAGATGAGTCTTACACACAGGAAAGCGCCCTCAAATTCAGGCGATAGGCTGGTGGTACTTCTTTCTAGCATTTCTCGCATTTGGCTACCAACATTGAGTCAAGGTCTTGCATAACACCGTGCTCCTGTTCAAAATGCTTTCTTCCCCAACATTCGAAGACCTTGTACTCTTATCTTCAGTCCTTAGCTTTTGCTCACCTAGCTTTGTAGAACGTCTTGCCGATGATGTTCTTGAAGGATTCCCCAAGCTCGCTCGCAAAACCCAGATAGCGCACGGACGTGTCCCGGAAGTTATCGCGCTCCTCCTTGTCCCCGCCGATGAGCTGTGGGTCCGTCGCCTCTTCCATCTTCTACCCTCCAATCGTCTTCCCTTCTGGATCAGTACAAGTGCTCAATCGGAGGCCCTTCACTGGAACTTTATGCGGCCTGATCTCACTAGCTATCCTAGTGATTGATGAAGACAGTGCTGAGTGCACGCAGAATGTGCTGATCTGTAGGATAGGTAGCGGACTTTCTCAGGAGTGTTTCTGAGCTGTTGCACAGCTGGACCTTGACAGGCTTCTGACACTGTATGTACTGCAGTAGTCTGAGTGAAGATCTCGAGCCTGCATTTGTGCCGAGACCCGGGCCCCGGCCACCTTTGCCGTTGGAACTCGAAGGACCGGCACCTCCGCCGTTGCCGATGTCGGGAGAGGTGACGCCCCATTGTAATTTGACGATAACGGGAGAAGGACGGTACTAGTCTTTTCAAATTCAAATCTGCACTGGCCTCACATTTGCGCATTTCTTCAGCTTGACAATGACATAGGTATAGGTATCTCTTTAAAAAGGCCTGTATTTTCCGTTTGCAATGTCCAGATGCCCATTGACAAAGGATCAGAAGGACATGCTTCGATGGAGTTCCAACATGATCGTCCAGCACAATGAACCAAGCCATCTGATTTTCCTGTCGATACTCATAGGGGATCCATGATAAAGCAGAAAGAGTCGAGAGGTGCCATGTGTTGTCTAGTAATCCACGTAAGGCCACGCTGATGAAGCTGGCCCTGTATGAAGCCATACGCGCTTTTGTTCAGAGGCGAGAAGACGGCAGATTAGAAGAGGCGAAGAAAAAGTTTGTGGGAGTATCGGCGGAGACCATTTATTGCATCTACGCCCAAGACGTGCAGCTGCGCGTGAGAGCGTCTCATCACAGGCACAGGAAGAAAGTTGACGAATACTTGATCAGGTATGCAGGGTTGACTGCAAAGATCGTGCAAGATTTGCAAATTAAACAGCAACAGCAGGAAACTCTCAGGGGCCAGAATGCTGTACTAAAAGCAGCTCGATCATTTTGTTCTATTGCGGTACTTCGTTTCAGGGTCAAAAGGGCAACCTCAAATTACAAGCTGAGACAAAGTTATTGCTGAAATCAACAATGCATGATCGATTCCTGACATAGTTCCCAGCCTGGGGCCTAAAATTTCTTCATCCATCCAACCAACTCAGCGTTTTCTCCATTTATTTCAGGTACACACAAGGTCAGAGGCTGCTTGCAATCGCAGACGCAATCGATCTTCCCCCCGCTCTCTTAGCGCGACTCACAATTGAACGAGTGCTGGGCGTTACTAAGCAGGCCGTGTCTGCATTGCTGAAGGACCCCGCAACCATACCAAGCAACACATGCACTGTTGAGGTAGGTGCGAACTATCTGCTATCTAAGCCGTGCCAGGGCAAAGTGTCTGATTAGATTGTGGAAGCACAATGGACCATGTACAGCCTCAACTCAGAAAGGCAGCTGGAGTAAGCAAGGAAGGAAAAGGCAGAGGAGCGAGGACTAGAGAGACGAGGCCGCTCAACAGGCTAAGCTTTTTGTAATTGCATGCTGATGAGGTTCTTCAGAGAAGGAAGCGTGCTGGATTTGCTTCACAAGCGCCAACCCCAAGTCTGCATGCTAGCTTCAAGAGAGGTCCATTGTTGCCAGGAACACGCTCAAATGACACCGCAACTGCTAAGAAAGAAACGTGCTTCATTCCAATCGCCGGAGCACCAGCAAATGTCCCCGCCAGATGTTGTCACGTCCAAAGCTGCCAGAACTCATGAAGTATTTGAATCACCTGGGCGGTGGACCTGCGTGTCATCTTTTGTGACAAAGACTTTTTCAGCTGTGTTTCTACTCGACCAGTGAGTGCTACAACCTCGCTGCTTCTCTTGCCAGGTGAGCGGCCCGTCTGGAAAAGATGCGCACTTAGAGATTGACGGCGCCCGCTTGCAACACGAGGTACGGGCGTGTGTGAGGGCTGACCTAGTAACCGCACCGGACGTCGATGTGGCACGGAGGAAGCTGGGGCTAGAGTAAGGCCCCTGGGATCCCTCCTCTTGCCCCCGCACGAAACAATGTGCTTCTATAGCTTGAGTTACTATTTGGTGTGTCCGCAATCAACTGAATTCAGTTCGTTGTTTGCTTCGTATCTTACGGCTGAACTGGTCATTGTAGTTTGGGGCTTTCTCGTTCAATTTCAACCCTATGTGCGGGAGCAAGAATTAGGCCTTAACTTGTCTTTCGTCTCTCCGATCGGTTGACCAAGCAACGTCTGAAAGAGCACTAGCAACTGAAGCCTATACTTCCTCTTTCTGCTCATTGCAAATAGTTTTCCGCTTGTTCGCTGTCTGTTCGGTCTCACTCTTCAATTGAGCCACATCGGGTAGGCCCTTCAGACTCTGGCCCCCTTGAACGCTCCGTTGTCTCTCACAAGACATCAACATGGCATCTACGAGGCTGCTTTTAGGAGGCAAAACTGACAATGCTCTACACAACAGTCCTTTTCCCTTGAGAACTTCGATCTAATCGTTCCTCTTTGTCGCTTCTTTGCCCATGTACAAAGCGGAGCTCTGCTCTGTCCTCAAGGACATCGGTGTCAATTTTGGAACGGAAACGACCTGCGCGAGCGCAGAATCAGTAACCCCTGAAAGATCTCCTTGACTTTGTATTTATCTCCTCCTCTTCGCTCTCCTTTCGGGTGTGGAGCGAAGCTCTGCGCGTCTTGAACGACGTCGCCGTTGCGCTCATGATAGAGAACGACCCAAGCAAGGCGGGGTCGAGTAAGACCTTCCGACCGAGCTTCCAAACAAGAGCTAACTAATGACATAGAGACTTGCCAACCAAAAGCCGTCTCTATCTCCGCACAGGTATGAAGCAAAGCTCTACTCTCTTCGAACCTGCGCGAGGCGGGTTTTGCACAAACCCTTTTTTGCATTCAAAACCCCTTCGGTCCATTCAACCTCGTACTACTCTTCTGCTCAGGTACGAAGCAAAGCTCTACACTCTCCTGAAAGACGTCGGCATAGCGTCCGAGACGGAGAAAGACCTGCGCGAGGCGGGGTTTCGGCAATACCGCTTCAAGCGAAGTCTCATCGCTGACCGAAACCCTCTATCGTTGCGCAAGATATGAGGCGAAGCTCTACGCTCTTCTGAACGACGCTGGTGTTGCATTCGAGACCGAGGACGACCTGCGCGAGGCAGGGTTTAGCAAAACCCCGGACGCCAGGCTGCTGGTGCCGATTGGGGTGCGCGGCCGCGTGGTAACGTGGATCGACAGCAAGGCCAGCTTCGGGGACGACTACATGCACCGCCAGCAGGCGGGCGAGCAGTTCCAGGGGTAAATTACGTCTTCTGTGTCCGACGTTCTTTTCATCCTTCATCCTTCGTATTTTCTCCTCTGGACAGATAAGTCAACAATTTAACTAGGAGGAGCGCATGATTTTGAGCAGGGTGCGAAGTCAGCAAGGCGGGCGTCTCGTCGTCTGTTTTGCCTACGTCCTCCCTATATTATTTTCCCTTGTGAGATAGTAGCCTCCTCCTAATGTCTATCCTTTCTGTGCAATGTTGTCCCCTTTTGTTGTCGTTTTTGCTGGTGCTCTTCTTTCTTACTTTGACTTCGTTCTCTCCTTTCTCGTCGAATCGTCCTGTGTTTTCTCTCGTCCTTCCGTTTTGGGCGACACCTCATCAACCACAGTCTTCTTCGAAACCTTATCTACTCGAGTGACAATCTTTTTATGGCCTTTCGAGAATTGAACCTTCTGGTAGTTGTCAACAAGAATTCAAAGAAGGTTCGAATTTGCTTTAACCCCTCCCTGCTCACGTGACGCTTCCTTTTGCTGCTCTCCTTCCAGGTACGTCAACCGCTTTGGCCCCGGCCTGGTCATCTACTGGTTCGGCTTCATCGACGAGCTTCAAGACGAGCCGTCGGATGTCCGTTTCTCCCATCCGGACAGCTCAACCCTCCGTCCGGACGCTCAGAACGGCGACTCGGACGCCGGAGCCCGCTCTTCGGACGCCGGAATCCGCCAGTCGGACGCCGACACCCGCCATCCGGACGGCCAACCGCACCCGGACGTCCTGTTGATGGACCGCTTCCCCGACGTAGCGGAAATCGTTCAACTGCCGCAACTGTCCGTTAACCCGCGCCCTTAGAAGGGAAAGCGCCGGTTGCTGGGGGAAAGGCAGAAGGTCACATTCGGGGAAGCCATTTCCAGGGTCTGTTAACCGTGTCTGCTCCACAGCCCGACTCGTTGGGCCGGACTGACCAAACCCGCAGAAAGGAGGAGCTAACTTCCTGAGCTTCGAAAGGGACCTTCCGGCTTGAAGCCTTAAGCCGAAGGGGTGGCATCCCTGCTTGGAGGTTTTGATAACGGGTTTCGCTTCGGACGCGTTTTTGAGCGGAATCAGTCTAGAGGGGAACTGTGCCAGAGCGGAAATAGGCTGCTGCGGAAGATGGGGTCGAAGGCGGCGGTTCTGTGGACAGGGGGGAAGGACTGCTGCCTGGCGCTGCACGAGGCGCACTCCCTGGGTTATTTCGTAACCGCCCTGGTTACGTTCGTCCCCGAAGTCAACCCCGGGTTCCTCGCCCACCCCCTCCCCCTTATGGCCCTCCAAGCAGAAGCTTTGGATTTGCCCCATCTGCAAATAGTCATAGGCGTTCCGTACAAAGAGAGTTATATCAAAGCGATAACAGATTTGGGTTCGCAGCACGGCATCGAGACGCTAGTCACGGGCGACATCGATCTCATCAACGGGGCGCCCAATTGGATCAGAGAGTGCGCGGAGGGCACTGGCGTCGGCGTGCTTACGCCGCTGTGGCAGCTGCCACGTGGCGTGATCCTGGACAAGATGCTGACGTCAGGTTTGGACGTCCGGATGACGTGCGTCAAAATGCCGCTCTTGGGAGTTGAGTGGTTAGGTAGGAAACTAGACAGGGCAGCTGTGGACGAGTTGATAGAACTAGAACGGGGAGGCGTTGTCGATGCCTGCGGAGAGAATGGGGAGTTTCATACGATGGTTGTGGACGCGCCCTTATTCTTGAAGCGAATAGTCGTCGAAGGATTTTCCGTCGGAAGTAAGGGCGACTTGCGGTACCTCGTTGCGGATGAACCGTCTGCGGTTGTAAAACCTACAGCTTTGGTAGCTTGCTCGGACGTGTGATGAAGAGTTGCGCAACGTTCCTGTTTAAGATTTTCCATCCGTGGTCAACAATGATTTCGAGTGGGATGCAACTTCCACAACCGAGATAACCTAGATCGAAAGGCTCAACTCATCAATCCCCGGCAGGATTCGCCAATTGGACATATCCGATCACGACTTGACGGGTGACCTTGTAAAAGTTCAATCCAATCTACACCAAGCACCATGCACATGCATGTGATCAAACTTGCAAGCACAATGATCATGCTTGTGAGGCTTGTCTGAATATACGTATAGACCATGCATGCATGGAGCTCGTCACCGTGCAGTATAGCAAGCCTGCCGCGCGAGAAAAAGGCCAGCTCAGTGTCAGGCATGCAAATGTGCTGTTTGTCTTTGATTGCCTTTAATGCTTATTGTGGGTCCATGCTACACAGCCCAAGAACCTGAATTTGATAGCGCTTGCGCTGCATGATGCAAGCTGTCGACTCTCCTTCAATCTCTGTACGGGTATACTGATCTAAACACGGTAGCCAATAGGAAAGTTCGCAACTCCATCCTGTTCCTGGTGCACTTCTTCTGCGATCTCAATGAGATGACATCGCGAGAATTGATTGCGGCTTCTCGGGCCCAAAGCCCAGGACTTAACCTCGAAAAGAAGTATCTACAGCGGCTTAGACCGGTCTGACGAATTCCGCAGGACTCAGTATGGTGTCGATCCGACCTGCGAACTGAGGCGGCTTGATGGTCTTTGCTGTGCTGCTAGTTCCCAGGGACGTAAGGATTGTTCCCCACTGGCCAAGGTGCGTCGTTATCATTGTGAAGGCCCGGGTAACCGATTTCCGCGTTAGGATGCTGCAGAAAGCAAAGACGAACGTTCGTCCAAATGGAATACAATCGAAGCAGATGTTTCGCGATAGCGGCGACTACTGCAGCTCATGTCGAGGAAGCAGACAATGAACTAAAGCAGTGCTAGCTATTAAGGATCATCTCTCTAGTGTAAGGACCCTGTTGTGTTGACGCGAAGAAGAGCCAACTTTTTAAAACGACGATTCGCAGGGACGGAGGAGGCGAAGCCTGAGGGCGCACCTGCCTGTAGAATGTGGAACCAGACTGCTCATAGCTGACAGGGTTTTGTCAAAAACCATTCTTCCGCATGCTTACTTCGATGATTGGAACATCCAAAGCGTTTCCATCCAACGAGGCAAATCGGCAGACCCACTGAGGAAAGAGAGATTACTTGCAGAACGTTACAGGAAGAGTCTCGACGAATCCGAGGTGATACAAGATCGAGTCGCTGCAACGCGCTGTTCTGGATCCTCATTCTAGACCAGATCAAAGAGCTCCACCCACGAGTGTAATTCATTGTCCTGTTCCTCTTCTGGGAGAACTAGAGGGACGAGGAGTCTCCAACCCTTACCGGCGAGTAGCCCGGACATGACTGTGGGAGCACCTTCCAGTCTCCCAGCCACTCCCGAACGGTGCTCTGACCGTCGGTGCGGTTGCAGTTGGAGTAGCCCTGACACTCAAGGCTGTCGGGCTGGTACACCCAGAATAGGCAGCACTCAGCATTGCTGCAGACGGGAGGCCGCCTTCAGTGAATCTTGGATAAAGATAACGACGACTCCTCTCTGGCAAAGAGCAGAAAATCCATACATTTACCGCTTCGGCGATGGCAGCGGGACCGTGATGACCAGTTGAGAAAAAGCAAGGACAAGCCTCTTAATGTTTGAGACCAAAACTTACTTCCTGCAAGTCCCAGGATTGTTGCAACGGTGAAGTCGTTCAGCCGGCATTATGGCTGTTGACAGTGCCAGCCAAGAAGAGTTTTTGTCACTTCAGCCGGGGTTCCTTACCGAAGCGGCTCACTATCGTCAGATCCGATACAAAAAGGTTTGGTTGAGCAATCTGACACTTGATCTTCTCCGGCGCTGGTTATGCTAGTCATCATTTTCCCGGAAGTCTGATCGCGCTGGACTCACGCGCATGCCTCGCAGCACGCCGTGTGATTGGTGCCGTCTAGCAACGTCTGGTTGAAGATCTGGTTCGACCCGACACCGCAGCCCTGACCGTTCCAGTAGGGCCTGGACAGAAAGACTAGTTGAGTATTAGTCAAGAGCGGGAAAAGAAAACTCTATCACGATGGCTTTGCGACCAGGAAACGGAGTTAGGATCAACGAGCGAGAATCCATCGTTTCTGAACGGGGTGTGATTGAGAGCAGCCTGCGGGAGCTCAAGTGATGAGCGAGCCTTTGATTTTGTGCGGGTATCGAACGGATGTTTCTGTTCAGGATGGAGTTTGTCTTGTTGGAAGTTGACTAGTTTGGGTTCATGTACCTTTGAGGATATATATGCGGCAGAAAGAACAGTGACGGAGGACACCCCTTTTGCTGTCTCTGATTTTAAGGTTTAACAGATTTTTCCATCTTCGAAATATTTTGAAACTTACCCGAAGGCATTGCTTTCCGTGCATTGAGGCGTGAAAGACTGGACCGCCATGAAGGCCGTCACAACGAGCAGGGCTCCCAAAACCTGCAACTGGACGTAAAGATGGTGCGCCACTTGCTTCATGGCACATGGCACATGGCACCAGAAGCGGATCTCCGATTTGACAGTCAAGAACCCCCTTGCCAACGTCACCGTGATAGAAGAGGTGAGGGAAAATCATTGTCACACTTTGATCTTGACATGCGAAATGTAATAGAAGGCCCATCGAAAATCCCTTGAGATCTCAGACTTGACGTCTTTGAGGCTCTATTGACTCAGGACTTTGAGTCCGAATCTACTGCACATAAGCGCTGCATACGACTTGCTGGATGGAAACTCTAGCACTCAAAACTGTCACGATTGATTCCGCAAATTTCAGCAACAGTTGGACGTGTCGGAAAGGGGGTTATGTTTCCGTATCATGGTTAGCTGGAGCACTCGTTGGGGATCCACTTTCTCACCTTTTTGCAGGGGGCCATTCCTGCGTTAACGTTCCCAACGGGGTCTTCTTGCGCTCTAGAACGGCAGGATACAGATCATTTCTGCCCAGTGCAGTCCTGAGAGCTCTGAACCATGAGACGACTTTTGGGTTTTGCAAGTGAGATTGACCATCTGTGAGCTCCTTTCGTCACTCGTACCAAGCTTTTCGCTCTGCTGAATTGATGCTTGAGGTAAGGGTTTGCTTCGGCCGTCTGGTGCAACTGTGTCAGCTTTTTCGCAGGAGGCAAGATCTCCGCAAGACCGAGGTGCCTCAGATGCTCTCATCGCTTTTGCGAGCCGCATGTGCCGTTTTTCACTAGCTTATTGCGCTCAGAAAGCGAGAAAATCCAGTGCTCAACTGATTACATGAAAGATGCTTGTTGGAATCCGTTTCTTTACGCCATTCCGGCAAGCCGCCAAAATTTGCAATTCACAAATGGGGAACATCTCGAAGGTGCAAATCGAAAGGAAACGTACGAACGCCGACATGACCCGAACCCATGATGGATAAAAGATTCTTTCGGCATGACCAGTACTGCTTTTCCCGGTCGTTTTCAGAACTGGAAGCACTACGCATGAGGGGCTATACTACTGCAAGCTGAAGGGGATACTAGATGAGCTTTTAAGCTGCGGTCTAATTACAAACATCTGAGCACATAACAACCTTCCACTCTGGAAACATGGCTTACGATCAGTCGGTCTGTCCAATCTACTTGAAGACTAACTAATGGGGCTTTGGACGTATGACAGTCACCAGAGTCAGCTTCTCAACCCATTATCCAGCCTATTCCCCATTTTTCAAGCAGTCCTACCCTTAACTATTCTGCACTTAGAAACCAAGACGCCAATCATGAAAGGAATCTACTTTGCTGCATTGGAAGTGACGCGCTCGCCTTAGTTCAGGCTTATAGCTTATCCAGTTTCTGAAGCTATATATTTCTGACTTGATGTGAAGTATTCGTAGTGTAACCTATCATTAGAGCCTTGGTAGGGTGGCTTTGGATAGTGAGGCTCCGTGATGGCACTCTGCCAACCTCCTAGTTCCCCAGAACGGGAGGGTTTTCCCCCACAGGCCAAGGTGCGTCGTTAGGATCGTGAAGGCCCGGGTAGGCAATCTCAGCGTCAGGATGCTGCAGATGCGAAGAGAGGAGAGATTGTCATATCAATTTCTCGTCGAAGCAGGCCGGGCCTTTCCTTGCCAAAAAAAAAAGGTGGATTGAAGCTGTATAACGTATCGACAGAAGATCAAAAACGGGATCTATGGAGATCAAAGAAGACTTGGATTTCATCTACAGGCAACTACCGGTGTTGAGGACCCCTTTTCCAGTAAGGACGTAAAAGACAAAGAATTCAAGTTGAAAAAGGTCGACCTTAAGTTAATCTGCATTGAATCTCTCTTTCATCTCGGAGGTCTGCCAATTCAGCGGCGATTGGGTTGGAACGGCTTGGGCATGCGATCTTCCCAAAACGACTTCGAGCGGAGCAATATTACTGAGATGCTCTGGCGCGAGTTCTCAACTTTCAGGAACTGCTATTTTATAAGAGTTGGAGTTCCAGTCACACACGCGGATAGCTCTTAGATGCTCTTGTCGTCATGCATCCTGCCTAACCCGAAAACAACGTCATTGTCCGGCTACTCCGAGACGTCAGTTGTGTAGAAGATATGAAGGGGCCTTTCCTTGGGAACGTCGCAAACGTACCTGGGCCTCTTTAGACCCCCGATTTGGAGAGCTTATCAGCGCTTACCGGCGAGTACCCCGGGCAAGATTTTGGGAGCACTTTCCAGTCTCCCAGCCACTCCCGAACGGTGTTCTGACCGTCGATGCGGTTGCAGTTGGAGTAGCCCTGACATTCGAGGCTGTCGGGCTGGTACACCCAGAAGAGGCAGCACTTGGACTTGCTGCAAGGGGGATCCTATGCAATTTTCACATAGAGTTCTTGAAACTGGTCAATGGCGAAGCTTCAAGCCGCGGGGTTAGAAGTCCAAAAGCCTCCTGTGACTCAGACCTGATTGCTTTATTGTGATGCCCGACAAGATCAGAAGAGTCATTTTTGGAGACAAACAACACTTCGACTTATGTTTCGTCCTTCTACAACTCCACGGAGATATGTTGGCAAGGCACTACTTCGAGTCTCTCAGGCGGTATTCGACAATCCTCGCCGTCTCTGCCAAACGCTGCGCTCTGGGAAGAGTTATGTCACTTCTGCGGCATCCAGTACATAAGACTTCAGAACCTTCGATCAGACTCGAGAAGCTCAGATCATCTGCATCGAGGCTGTTCCTTCTCCACTCAAGCTGGCTGACGAAAGCTGACCAATCTGGACTCACGCGCATGCTGCGCAGCAGGCCGTGTGGTCGGTGCCGTCCGGCATCGTCTTAGTGAAGACCTGGTTCGATCCGTCACCGCAACCCTGACCGCTCCAGTAGGGCCTGACAGAAGCAGGAAATTCAAGAGAGCAAAAAGAAACGTCACAAGACGTCTTTGCGACCAAGGTACCAGTGTCTGGGGATAATGAGCTCAGTAGTGAAACGAGCGAAGCCTGGTTTCGTTGTGCGAAAATAATCTTGGGGATAATATGCGGAAAGGTGAATTCAATCACAATCACAATCACAATTCAATCACACAATCGTCTTTGTGTCTTTCATCCCGTCAAACCGTTTGAGGGTGTTCTGTAACTCACCCGTAGGCATTGCAGCCGGTACATTCAGGCGTGCAAGCCTGGACCGCCACGGCAGCCGTCAACATGAGCAGAGCTCCCAAAACCTGCAACAAAGGAACAAACAGTCTGTTGTGCAGCAGATTGGCAGCTACACTCGCTTTCAACAATGCGCCAGAAGCTGCGGACTTCCTAGATAACGAGGAGGATTCGGTTCTAGTAACCTTGTCGAGGGAACCATAGATAGGAGAGGAGAACTGTCAACATCTGTTCTGCTGTGATTTAACAGCAAAATGAAAGGGACGGAAAGAAGTCTTGACAAAGTTGATGGACGACCTCAACGCCTTTCGCTTCCGAGGTCCAAAGCTGCAGCAAGATATGAACATTTGGTAGCTGCCTTCGAATCGAGCCTTTTGCTTCAGAAACCACAAGTCTCACAATCGAGCCGGCAATGAAGCAATCTTCTTTCAAGCTGCAAATGCCAAGCTTGAGCACCACTTGGAAATACATACTCTCACCTTGCTTGTACAGGCGGCGGCCATCTCTTCGTTGACGCAGCAAACGGGGTCCTCCTTGCGTTCGGGCAATAAAGGAGAAGTCAATGCCTTGCAGAAAAACCTGGACGCATAGAATGCAGTGTGAAAACCGCAGGCGAGACAATCTGAGATCTTTTTATATCAAGCTGGATAAGCGGCTTCCATCTGCTGAAAGAGGCGGCTCTTTTGTTGCAACAGTGGCAGCTTTGCGAATGATTGAAGATCTCTGTGTTCGGAGTGCCCTTCAGTGTGGTAAACCATTCTTGGGACAGCATGTGCCAACCTGCACTAGCCTCGAGCGTTTAAAAAACAAGTTTCGTTTATGAGGTGCTTGTCAGCGTTCCGTCCATCCTCGACAACTTGCCAACCTTCCATTTCGAGGGAAGCTGGCACCCAAACATCCTCGAAGGATGCACATGTGAAAAGATGAACCTCGGAGGTTGATGCAAACCCAAGCTTGTTTTCGAGACTGCTTCGGGCATGAACCGTGCTGCTTCCCTTGGAAGATCGCTCGTTCTCAAAACTCTATGTTCAAGCTGAGCTGAGATAGTTGAAATATTGCCAGCCTGTTACAATAGCTGTACATTCAGAGCAGCTCGATGCGCTATGCCTACGGGGCTCGTCAAAAAAGGCATGTCGAAAGTGGATTTCCAAAGCGAGATCGGAAAATTCTGCGATGCATCGGACTCGAGCACTTCATTCCACGTCCTCGTGGGGAGGGAAACCCTGTGCTTTCTGGCTTTGGGCCTCCCCAGGTTGTACAACGTGATTTGACGGCCAGACGTGTTAAGTAGAGCTTACACAGACACTTCGAGCGAATGTATCAATGCTTTTTCAGATCTTCACTGCGCTATGAAAGGGCCAGCATGAAGCATGTGAGTGCACAAATCACGGTCAGCACTATTTTGTGATGACAACAGATTCCGCCGGGAGTGCCAAGAATAACAGTCCAAACTCTTTTCGGACGTACACAAGCCTGAGATCTAAGTTTGATTAAGCTCGGCGAAGCTACGGCTCAACGTGCGGTCGCGCGTTTGTAGCCAGCTTCTACTGCCCGGTGCGGCGTCATTTCAGCTAGCCGCAACAATGCAGCTGCCGCCAGCTATACGATGGCTCGTTCCACTTTTACGATGGCCGGGTTTGGTAAACCTGGCATGCAAGTGTTTTGTGCTGCCGTTGTGCACATCCGGCCAGACGGTTACCTTGCAATAAATGCATTGCAGCCGGCCCGTAGCTTTTCGAAGTTCATTGAATCTGCAAAGGCGACCGCATTTCAGTGTCCCATGTGATGCATGCATGCGGTTAATGAGCTTGCAATTGTCTTTTTGCGGCGGCACTTACTGACGAGCTCAGTGGACTAGGTGTAGGGTGGCCAGCAGGTGCACCCGGGCCTGCCCGGCCGCCGCTTTGGCGCAAATTCGTTGTTAACTTAGAGTGTATGAAACTTGTTTGAAACGACCGAACCCCACTGCGGCTTACAAGCCAGAGAACGCAATTTCGTATGACTGCGTAATCAACAAACAGTGCCCCACAACATGTCAGATGACCGTACACAACCAGATGCGCGAAGGCTTGCCATGACGCGTTGGCATGTGAAGCTGTACAAATCGTTACCTCTCTATTCGTCATCATCGTCCGAACCATCATCCCTGGCTCCCCCCTTTCTGATTGACCGCTTCTCTTCCGACGGCCCCTTCGCTTTCCTCCTGCTAGCACCATCCCCACCCAGACCGTCTGCAAAGATAACCCCAGTCCGTGCTAACCTCTCCTCCAAAACCTCGGTTCCGAAATCATCTGACCCGCCTAGCTCGTCAAACCCGACAACGTAGTCCTCTGCCTTGCCGTTCTTGATGATTGCAATCGTGGGAAGCATGAAGATCCGCAGCCGCTCGCAGAGGAAGGGGCTCTTCTCGGCGTCGAGCTTTACGAACTTGGTCTCGAGGTGCTCCTTTGCGAGAATGGACAGGTGCTTGTCTACAACCTGGAAAGATGAGTGGAAGAGACGGGCGTAAACTACTCCAAGTAGTCAAGGACGTCGATCTGAACAAGTTGAGAGTATTCTGAACAGTCGGAAACGTCAGCTGCGAGCAAACGTCTCTCCGAAAAGCAGAGATTTTCGTAAGCGCCTCCGTATTTCGGACACTGCAATCAGCGCCTCACAAGCAGAGAGGCTCGCGGAACGACTGACGCCAGTGACAGAGGTGCTTGCGAAAGAACCGCCTGGTCATGATGCCCAATCAGGCTTGCACCTGTGGATGCTCTTCAGAGATCTGCCAACGTCTATGGATTTCGCCAAGCTTGTCAGACCAGATGAATCCCTCGGATTGTTACACCCCTTTCTGCCTTCTAGAAAAGAGCTATCGCGTCCATTCTGAACATCTCCACTTCCGACCTCAGCATTAGCACTCCGACTCAACCGCTCTCTGAACGGGTCAACATCAGCAACTCCAATTCAGCCTTCGAAGCAGCAGACTGACTAGAATTCCAATAATCCAGCTTCAAGAAGCATCAGTAATCGAGCAATTGAGCGTGCACCCACCTTGCAAGGCCAGTTCTCCCTGTAGAAATGGCACACAACCCGCTCGCTCGACTTTGATTCGCTGAAGAAGTCCTTCTCAGTGGGGATCTCCCGATAGTCCCCGTGACCTTTTGCTGCCCACTCTTGTTTCTTTGCAGCCAGCCTTTTCATCTCCGCCAGCCGCCGCTCTCTTATCGCTTCTATGTCGTCCTCATCGAGTTTGTCCAGCCGGTCGAGCTGCGCGTCTAGGTGTTCTTCAACAGCTTTGGCAGCAGTGAGAACCTGGTTCTCAATCACCTGCACGAGAGAAATGGACAAAGGGTCTCAATGAAGGAGTAATCCACAGAGATGACCAGTCCAATCTGCTTGACTGTCTGAGGTGTTCGAGATCAATCCTACTGAGGGAACAAGCCCCTCGCTTCATCATCAGATCTAGCTTTGACATCAGATCTGGAGAATCAACAAGTAATCTACCCAGAAGAACGCATTCCAGTGCGTATAGAAGTGCACGAGATACCTAAGGACCAACTAGGAGCAGAGCCCAGTGAAGAGAGAGGCAATTGTAAGCCAAGCTCATGGGGTTCTTGGTAAGCCCCGATTATTCCAAGTTGGAAGTTCATGAGAAAGTTCCCTCCTTATACAGCGAGAGCTGGCCCTTTAGCCAAACAGTACTTACGTAACGAGCACGTTTCCTCTGATAACTTTCGCTGGTACATTCTGCTGCGGGGTGATTACATACGAGACTCCTAATCCAATCACACTTCAACTAAAGACAGAAACAAGCTGTCAAGCTTCAAGATGATTTTGAAACCCGTTAACAGAGGAGTGAGTATGCTGAGTGAGAGCTATTTCTGCCTATTTGCAAGCTAGAAGAGGTGGTTCGAATCTCAGGCAAAATGTATATAGGATAGACAGTTGTCCAACAAAACTTTTTCGACGGCCACAACTGAGAAGGTGAGCAACAAGCATCAAGTGGACAAGTATTACCAGATTCACTTGTGAATGAAGCTGAGTCGATGCTCCATGCCTGAGATCTCTGAAGACCGTATCAGTATGACATAACGATCTGTGCTGATACAAAAGAAATCTTTTGAACTCGAATGTGGGCAGCTCGGGCTTGAGCTCAAGCCGTTTTCGCGGGTGGTTGCAAGAAGTCGAGAAGGAAAATAGGCCCGTTGTTTCAACGCCTTTGACAAAAGTACCAGATTGTGATTCTCATGCCCATGAAAGATCAGTCACAATAACCTGGAAGTGCTGAGCAATTGCAACTTTGACTGTGTCAAGCTGGCAGAGCTGGAGTGTGGGCTTCTTCCATCCATTGCACGGTGGGCCTAAATAGCTAAGTTTATCCGCCAGAGTGGCAAAGACAATGCTCTCAATCCTCTTGGGCAATCTTGACGGAGGAGAAGCAGATTTAAGCTGAAGCAGGTTCAGGTTGCGCAATCAGAGCCTGCGTCCAGAAAGCAACCAAAGGGGGAGCTTCTCCTGAGAACATTTAGACTCTAGCCTTCATATCCAAAAGAAAAAGTACAAGCTGGTCCACTGGACTTGATCATGAAGAGCAGACCCTAGGTTTGACTGCCCCCAACTGCAGGTCACTAGCAAGAGCAGCCCTTTATGCAAGAAAGAGCCTTTAATTGAAAGAATTAGGTTCATTGTCACAGCAGCTCACCTGCTGCATGATTGCAGCTGGCATGTCCGCCATGCTTCCTCGTCCTGCTCCTCTTTGTGCTGAACACCCAGTGACTCTAAAGAATGTAGGTTCACCAGAAAGAGCTCTGAGTTAAGCTCTGAGTTCAGCTAGGACAAAGCAGAACTCTCTAAGGTAAAGCAATCTGCAAGCTCCTTGCTGAAGTAGTTGAAGGAACTTGTGAAGCAAACCTTAGATGGGGCATCGATTGGTAGCTTGATGAAACAACTACCTTCACGCAGCTCCCACAATTTTGAGCTTGAATCCTTGGCGCTCGCCACACTGAGAAACAGAGTGTCTTCCTTGTACATTCAATGACCTTGGACCTTGGTACAGGCTTGTTTTCAAATCGTCAACGAAGAAAGAAATGAAGGAATCAAGTATTATCACGGAAGGATCAAGCAGACGACCACCACGTACTTTCACTGTCAATGTCGGCGTTTTGGCGCCATCACCTGTTCATGACAAGCTTCCAGCAATTCTGAATTGCGCCACAATTGCTTGGTCCGACCACCCACCGGGCAACTTCCAGGGCCATTTCATACTTAGCAAACTACTAGTCGGAGTTACATACCGGGCATATTCATACAAGCTTGAAAATACGAAAGTGGACATATTGCGTCTTCTCCTAAGCTGAATTCCCCTAAGCCATATAGCCGATATCAACAGCATATAACAACGTCAGCCTATACGATCGATTTTCCGAGAACTGCAGACACTAGTGCGGGCTTGGTCGCAGGTGTATGTGAGCAGAGGGTATATATTTTGCCCCCTGTTTTCTGTATACGTGGCCAGCCCCTATGACCTGACAGTTAGAACGATGGAAACCCTGCAGGGTTTAGAAAATTCATCTAGGCGGCCGCGCAAAGCCGCCCCGGCCGGCCGCACAAG